GCCTGTGGTAGTGCGCCTTGGTGTCCCTGCTGTCCCAAAGGCAAAGATAGCAGGGAAACTTGGTAAAACCGCCTTGGAGACTCATCAGGAATGCCACCATTTTGAAGTCTCCGATGACCTCCCAGCCATACCCATCGTACTTCAAGGCATCCAGCAAGGTCTTGATGCCGTTGTAATCCTCTTTGATGTGCACCGAGTGAGCCAGGGGAAGAGACTTTGCTTGTTACCATTATGGAGCAGCACGGCGTTGAGGCTCCTGGATGAGCTGTCAATGAAGAGGCGCCACTCATTCTGGTTATAGACGATTCCGATTGCCTCGAACAGACTGGTCACATTGTGGCAGAAGCAGAGCCCATATTGACGGTTGAAGAAGTTGCAAAAAGGTTGGTGACACTTCCTCTGATCTGCGACTTGTACACTTTCATCCAACAAGTTCTACTTCTTGAGCCTAGACGTCAAAAACTCGGCATTGGACTTGGTGAAACCAAGATCTCTGATCAAGTCATTCAGGCCTTTTTAGTTGGAGTAGTATGGGTTTCTCTCCTCAGCTCCACCTCTGAAATTGTCATCTGGTTCTACAACGTTTTCCTTGCTCTCTGACTTGCTGCTCTCTTCTAAAGACGGCTGCTCTTTCTCTCCAGAGAAGTGGGTACGGGGAGCTCATGGCAGTGTGGCACCGGGGCGATGGATGAAGGAAGGTCCCGATACGTGATAGGAGGTGCATTCTTGCCAGTCCGACGTTTGGAAGGGTCCATCATGCAGAAGTAGCAGTTGCTTGAGTGGTCAGTGGGTTCCTGCCAAATTCTTGGTATAGCTAACTTCATGGCTCTCTTTTCCCCTCTGTACCATCCTACAAAAATAAATTTATTTCACCCATGACTCAGATAATCTCGCAACATTTTTCATATATGACATATTTTTTCAATAACATTGAAAATTGTAAAACATTTTCTAATTAAAATCTTTTACAATGAAATTTATTGATTTAAAGCTTTCGTGACTGCAGTAATTCATATTCTTAGCTCTTTCGGTAAAGTCACGCGTTGAAGGGAAACAATAAAATAATAAAATATATAAAACAGGTGTGTAAACCGACACACCTGATGACGACCGTTTGTGTTATGGTCGAAACGTCGTGAGAATTTTTATTGTTTTATATATATTTTATTATTTTATTGTTTCCCTTCAACGTGACTTTACCGAAAGAGCTAAGAATATAAAAATGAAATTTTTGTTAAACAAATTTTATAACATCAAATTCCAAGCAACAATTGTCCATCTTACCTTCCAGAGTTTTTTTGCATTGCTCGCAGGTGAAATGAGGTGCCCAGAGTTTGTCTTGATCCCCGACAGGAATGCCAAAATATGCCTTGTCGGCCTCACACATCTTAGCAGATGCTTCCCCAGAGTACTTTTTTGCTCTTGTCTTGATCAATTGGCTACAGACATAGCAAAATGCGTCTGCCAGATGCTTGCAGCCTCTTGATGCCATCTCATAAAAATGCAAACATGTATCCACTTCGGCAGCAGGAACTAAACTGAACTGGTGGGCTTAAGGCCCCTGTATTTATACTCCTATTTATATTACTGGAAAGTTCTAGAATGTTCTAGAAGTTACTCACAGTTTACTCAACACTGAATCTCTCTGTAATGTTCTGGAAAATAGGTATATTTCAAAATATCACTGTCCTGGTCACAAAAGCAAAGTTTGTGGGGAATAATAGCCATTTTCTGTACTTTTGAGGCATAAGCAATTAGGAAATAACACTTACTACCCAGGAACAAAAATAAAATAACAAATTGTTACACAGTGGTGCAATCAACTTAAGTTGTGATTGCCGCAACAGAAAGGTGCCATTATTCATGGCAGAGCTGTGCATGTGTGCAATGCGCCCCATTCTCGGATGATGGGATCCTGTCATTTGTGAAATATTTACAAGTGCCTGACAAGCCTTCACATCGTACGACGAGCCCTGGAGAGCCATCAAGGAGACTGGCGCCCGATATCCATACAAAAATTCGAGGGCAGAACCAAACGCTTCCCCTCTGCTCCACAAACTCCTTTGGCTCAAAATTATGACAATTATTCAACATCTCTCTCTTATGCCTTAATAAATCATTTTAAAGGCATTGGACGTCCCTTTCTCTCATTTAAACATAATAATAAATTACAATACATACGTTAAAAGTTATCAAATTTCACAGCCAAACTGTAGGTTAAATATAAGTTAACCAACGACGATATCGCACGGAGCGCACCCAATCTCGTTAAATCCCAGAAGCTAATGAGGGTTTGGGTCTGGCTAGCACTCAAATGGGTGACCAACTTTCTCAAAAGATAGGTGCAATGAGTGAGGTGAACAGCACTCTGCTCTCACCTTCATCAAGTTCGCAAGTGGTGAGGTATGGTCAAATATTCCACGAGGCCCTCATATAGTAGTTGATTGATAAAAAAATGGGCTGTCCATGCTCGTGCAATTGTAAGTGTAAAGACGACTTGGGCGCACTTGTCTTGAGATGGTTTCTTTATTAAGGAGCCATGTGCTCACACTCGTACAAGTGGAGGCCCCCACTGCAACAGCCCCGAGTCTCCCGCGCAGCTCCCTTTATATACTGTCCAAAGCCACGCCCCCATTCCCGAACCTTCTCGCTGGGTCTAGACCGCTCACTCTACCAGCAGACTCCACCGTCCTCTTACATCACCTGGCCACGCTCCAATTCTCGGTCATTCCCGTATCCACCAGTCCCTTAGTACTGCAGGCTGACTCCCCTGTCATTACCTCCCGTGGCCACTAGTCCATTCGCACTGCAGGCTGACTCCCCTGTCATTACCTCCCGTAGCCACGAGTCCACTCGCACTGCAAGCTGACTCCCCTGTCATTACCTCCCGTAGCCACGAGTCCACTCGCACTGCAAGCTGACTCCCCTGTCATTACCTCCCGTGGCCACCAGTCCACTCGCACTGCAAGCTGACTCCCCTGTCATTACCTCCCGTGGCCACGTGTCCACTCACACCATAAGTTGTCTCTACTGTCATTACATAAGTAACAAACAAAAAAACATATTGGTTTAGTTTTTGTAACCTTGCCTTGGTTAGAGGCAATGTCGACCTTGCTGTTTCGTCACACTTATTTGTGTATCTCATGCATCACTGCAAGTCTCCACCCACCAGGCTCCACACAGCTCTCTTGTTGCATCGCCGCTTACATTCGGTGGCCACGGTGGCGAGATGTCAACTACCTCACCTGGTGTGCAGGAAGTCGTGGGTTCGATCCCAACTCTGACGCCTGTATATTTGTAGTTTGCATTTCTCCCCGTGGTCGCTTGGATTTTTCTCTAGGCTCTCTGGTGTTACCCTGCACATTTAGAATAAACATGCGTTCAAGAGTATCTGGCTGCAATACATTTCCACGTGATAAGCCACTCCGTTGAGCTAGAATGTGTGATCAGATCGCTTCTGAAAAAGAGCTACATAGTTCAGTGGGACTTATTTGGCCCGGCATGGTGTCACACTCTTCCAATCCAGTCCTTTGGAGACAAGGGTTGGTGGATCATGCAGATTTAGGAAACTTCCTCAGCCGGTGGGCAGGAGACGGCAGTACCGCAAAGTGGGCTCGTGAACCCCTCTATGCAGACGTGTACATGCTCATTCCTTCATATGCAAGCGTTTCCTATGGGTAATCTGGTTTCCTTCCACTTGCAGAACCTATTTAAAAAGGATTTTGTCAAACATCCCAGTGCAGGACACTCCTGAGAAATAGTCTTGTGCCTTGATACTCAGTGAGGCTCTTAAATTACATTATATACTCTTTTTTTACCTGATGGGATTAAACGTGTGTATCGCAGTGTGAACAAATTGTTTGCTTATTTATGTCCATCTTTGCATTGGTTTTAATTCAAGACATCACAGCTGAATAAATCAGCACACGGCGGCAACGCCACAACGCTGCATCGTGTCCTGAATTTCATGTTTGCTGAACGGAAGGTGCAGCAGATGGGGTCAAAATAAATACACGTGACATTTGGCACGACACATTCACGAATCATTGACTGTGCACATTTTGTCCACGAATAATAGGAGGGATGATACATTACATTATTTATCCATTCTCTTGCGATGATTGGCTTAGATTTCACTACCCAAATCAGTCTGCCAAGTCGTCCACACCCTTTCGTTCCATCTATACCTTTCAAGGTTTGCTTGGCTGATGGCGGGGAATTAGTTTCCCCTAAAACTCCATTTTGCCATCTGCCTTTGGTCTCTCCCAATTAGAAAATCATTTAAACCTCATTTGAATTAGATGACCGGGTATACGCTTCTGTTAAATATTCGTTGTTAATGATCTGCACGTGCATTAAGGAAGCATTAATCTCGTTAAGTTTCTTCCATCACCTCCCCCCCTCCCCCCACCTACATAAATGGCTTTGATGAGTGCTTTGATCTCTGCACGCATGAGTAGCCTGCATGTCCTACGGTGCAAGCAACTGAACAGTTTTCTTCACCCACAGCAGTGCGTGAGCATATTTTGTGCTCGCATAACGAATATGAAAGGCCCACATGAATTGTGTTCATTTTGCCTACTTATCCCAGTCAGCATATTGGAGCTTAGTATGGTTAAACATTTACATTTCTAGCAATATGCACTCCACCAAATGGACGAAGGTCTCCCCATTCCATAATGGTCATAGGGTTTTTTGACCATACTTCATCGCCCTGGTCATTGCAATTTAACAAAGGGGGGGGGGGGGGGGGGGGCAAGAGTGCATACTTGGTTCAGATAATCGTGAGCGATGTGAGCCATTGAGCCCCGTCGAAACTATGGCCATCTCACGCTAATATCATAGGGTGCTAACAAAAACGTGCTACTGCTCGACCCCCTCGGTAGGGGTAGAGTGTCGTTGTAGGCCTTCTCAGCAGTGTGCGGTCACCTGGCTGAGCTGCTGGCGAGCTGCCCCCTGCTTACTGCTGCTGCTGTTCGTGCCGGCGCGATCTGTCCCAGGTACCTGGTGCTGGAGCACGTGTCAGGAGGAGAACTGTTTGACTACTTGGTGAAGAAAGGACGACTCACCCCCAAAGAGGCGCGCAAGTTCCTCCGCCAGATCATCTCTGCGCTGGACTTTTGCCACAGTCACTCCATATGGTGAGCCAAATCGTGCTCTCTCTGGAGGCCACAACAGATTTCAATTTATGTTCAAAAATTATTTAATTATGTGCCGCATTTTAACCCCTTACCTTGACGCTGCGTTTTTTTCCTTCTCATTTTGAGCCAGAATGCACAGTTTATTGTACGGTTATATATTTATTATTCTCAGATACTGAGTGCTTGGTTATTCTCAAGCACGCATATATTACATTTCGATTGTAAATTTATATATTGATCATGACAATCGTATACGGGCCTTTGTTATATTCACTGAAGGATTAACACTTCCCCATGTTTTGTAAGTCGTGGGGATTGTTTTGACCATACTTCACCATGCTGACCAGTGCAGGTTGGTGAAATGTTGATGCAAAATCATTTTTAATGAACAACATTTTCAAGCATTTTTGGTAGATTTCCTTTTGGGGTTTTGACTTATTCTACGTTTATATATACAAATAATGTGCGACTGCTGTGGTCCGTGATAATTTCGAATTCTGAATGAATATATTAATGAATAATTTACCATTGATTAAATATCATATATATTTCGTTTCTATGCTTTTTCATTTATGTTTAGGCCTTTTTTGGCAATATGTAAATATACATATAATAATTTCTGTGCATTGATGGTCCATATTTTAAAATGAAGCAGAATGGATTTTCAGCAAATATAGTTGAGTATTCAAGCGGTGTGTGTAGCTGGGCAGGAAAGGGTGCAGGATAACAGAGCAGTGTGGCCGTTTTTTTTATTAAAAGAAGGTGGCCTGGAAATGACTTCCGGCAAGTCTGCAGCCGTGCGATAAGTGCGCGGTATCGGCGGCTTGCTGCTCGCGCAGCCCTCCGTTGAATATTCATGCCGATGGGAATTGCCTGCGGTTGCTGCAGGGTCATAGCTGTTGGGGGGGGGCGGGGGGGAGGGGGTTGGTTGTCGCTTGGCACGGTCGGGGTGGCGGGTAACGTTGAACCTTGCAATCCATCTCTGCCATTCTGCCTGGGAACCCATTTGTATTGGCGGTGTTGTTTTTGTTCTAATTGTAGGCACTGGCCCTCCCACCTCCAATTCAGTTATTTGTGTCTGTCGGCTGATTTAGTGAACGCAGCCCTCCCTCCACCACCGTAAATATGCCTATACTGGCTTTGTGCACTTTATGGCGCGGATTTAGAAAAATCCATTAGAAGTAATTGAATTGGAAATCCCCTCTGAAATGGTTAGAGCACTCAGCGAATTACCAAGCTACGCTATCATACAATGTGCAATTATCACGTGATTTATATTTTTCAACAAAAGCAATCTATTAGAGATTAAATATCAAATAGCAAGTGTCACGCTTTACAGGTATCGTTTACTAAAAAAAAAAAACCTGCCATGTGGCGATTTTGGATATATATTTTTTTCCCCCAAAATGAATTGTGGGTTTGCTTATGAGTTCCAATTACTCTTGAGGGATAAAGCAGGTTTGGAGATGAAATTAAAAAGCTGCAGGCCTCGTTTAGGAGGAATTAGCTGAATCGGCTTGCGTGAAGTGCGACAGTCTGTAAAAATGACTCCGTAATGGAAGACGAGAGAAATGCATTCCACTTAATTGTCCCTGGCCATGGCATTGCCTCAGCGACATTAATTGGCTCCCCTTTTTTTTTACACTCTCTTCTCCGCATCTGCTCATTGTCCACCGACAAAGGAAGCTCCTTGTACAGTTCATACGCGGGAAGGGGGTTTTGATGTCTTATTTTAGACCGTGATATATCCGTGAGCGTGTGCCGCAAAATTATAAAAACACACGATCTGTCACTTTTTGAGGGGATTTGCAGCAATTCGGCGGGGAAAAAACATTCTGCAGTTGCAATGCATTCATGCACTGCTTTTTAAAACCATCCATTATAATTATATTGTATGTTTCATGAATATTCTGCAATGCCGCGTGGTTATTTTGATTTGTATAATGCGTACAGTAGAGAGAAAAAAAAACGTGTGTTTTATGTATGGACTAAATGAGTGTGATTTATTTGCTCCTTTCTTTGATTTAATCATCACGGCATGATGGGTGTTCCAAGCTTATCCCGAAGCACACCAATGTTGATGAATTAACATGCGGTGAGTGGTGGGGAAGGGGGGGGGTCAGTGAAATAAGAGTCGGCGATAGTCAGGCGGCAGCGAAAAATCTCGCCGCGCGTGCGAAATTGAACGGCCCGCATCATCGTTGACACAAGGTGGTGCGGGAAAGTCCGAAACGTGCGTGGTGAGGCGACGGGCCCTGGGCATTTTAGTCGTTGGCCCTCGCATCAGGTGCCACCGTAGGCAGCACAAAGCAGCAGGGGAGGGGCGGCGCTATTCCGGACGTGGCAGCCGCGGCTGTCCCACGCATCAACTGCTCCCAGAGGGTGGCCAGCGCCTGCCGGTGGGGGATGAATAAATAAAGACCTGAGAATTTGAAAACGGAATTAATTTAGTGGCCGAGGCCTGCTTTTATTTTATGCTCGAATGTTTATCTTCGTCGTCGGCGATGATTAATTAACTGCCGGATTAAGGCCTCGCCAAGCTTTCGCAATGCATAGAGCTGATTTCAGTCGTCGCTGCAACTCCTCATTGGATGTCCACTCGGACACGTTCCATCCCTAGGATATGTGTGTTTATGTTGAACTTCTTTCGCACCCTTCATAGCCAATTGTGCTCATCGGAGGTGTGAGGAAAGGACAACGAACTAAACACGAAAAAGCAGTTCTAAAGAAATGAGTTTTCATTGAGATTTAAAAGTGCATAGGTCCAGTAGCTTCCTAATATCGGAAGGAAGAGCATTGCAGAGACGTCCGCAGAGGTGCATCTAAAAGCACGGCGATGCAGTGACCGTCTTTGTTCGATGGTTAGCCAAAATCTGCTGCAAGGATGGCCAGAGTTCGTGTGATGGTTTGTGCTCCTTGACGAGATCAGCAAGGTATTGTGGTTCATTTGTGGCAAGCACTTTGTGTGTGATGCGTGCGACCTTACAATGCATTAAATCAGCAACCGGAAGCCAATGCAGCTCAGCGATCACCAGACGGACGCGGTTGAATCTTGCAGTACCCGTCACGACACGTGGCTGCTACACCGCCATTATTTTTAGCCATCGGCCATCATCCCTTCCAGTGACATGTCTTGTCCAGGCCCACCTACTTTTCTTAACAGTTTGACTTAAAACTTTAACATGCAGATGTTCTCTGAATCTCTTTCTGCCCCTCAGTGTAATTCTAAGCAATCATCTGTCTGTGGTTATTTGTGCTCTTTTGAGTATTTGTTCATTTTTTTAATGACTGTTTCCAAACCACATGTGATAGCAAGTATTAGGCACAGCTTTGACAAAAATATGCTTACATTTTATTTGGGGGAAACGAACTTTTTTATGTTCCTAAAGTTGGATTAGGTGCTTCCTTTGTTTTTTTAAAGTCATATCTTAATTAAATAGGTCGCTATCTCGCCACCGGGATCCATGCTTCACGTGGATTGGCCTTGGTGTTGTGTGCCTTATAGTGCATGGGCCAGAGCAGAAATTGGTACCACCATCGCTCGTAATACTTATTCATCTATACAGTTAATGAGAGGGAATTACTTGATAACCCACTCATTTCAAATGGTTATCGCATAATTAACTATGATTGGCCACACAAAGAAATTTGAAACACTACATTAATGCCACCTTCAGGTGGTGCCGAAAAGTGAAATATCTGGTCTGGGCTCATGGACTACTTATCTTGGTGCTGTATTGGCTGAGAGGCTTCTGAATTCTCACCAGGGCTGATAGTGAAGTAAATCCGCCTTCAGATTTGGAGCTCACCTTCACATAAACCTTCCTCTGATATTGCGTCTTATTTCATTTTATCTTTGCCTTTGCTCTCTTCAGTTGGACAGCAGATGTTGGTTTATTTTGACATGTGTTTGAGAGTGTGAAGCTATGAGTCTTGACTTGAGTGACCTTCAAGTACGAGTTTGTGGGTTTTAACATGCACACGGCATTGCAGAATTCTCTAGCAGCATTCACATTTTGTAATGGGTTTTATTTTATATGCACTTGTCGCTCTCTCTTTCATGAACCATTGTGTTAGTTCAAAGAGCGCTTTCGTTTTTATTTTATTTAATTGAAAACATTTCACGCTGGGAAAGAATAAATAGACAAACAGAAACGCCTATATATGTACACGATTGGCACTTATAAATAATGATACAATAACAATCAACGCCGCCAGGTCTGGTGAATGGTGAATTATGGCAATACAACCCATAACCTTTGTACAAGACCATTATTAACCACGTTTTCCAACCGTGATCATCCACGACTGGATAAAGGCCTCCCCAAGTCGTCGTTATCCTTCATGGTCTCGTGGCGATGTAACAACCAACCATCTAGGTCTTGCACGTGAGCGGATCTCATTCATCATTCTCCCCCATGTGGTGTTTATCCTCCTTTAGCTGCCATTCAATCGTGAGTCTCGACCACTGGACAACATCCCTTCTGGCGGCGATGTGCCAACGGGGATGTTCTTAATTTGTGTTCTCGGGTCCGTACGGTTCATTTTTCTGTCTACTGGACATTGACCTACTGCGATTTTTTTTGCTACTGGACATCTGTGACTACTGGACATCTTTAAAAAAAAGAGCTTCATAGCTCACCCGGATTCCTCCAGTCTTAAAAAAAAAAGATTCTGACTTTGTCTCGGTAAAATTTCAAGTGTGCACCTCTCCATACCGAATTTTGAGCTTTTCGGCTTTTGTTCCATTTTCTTTGTCATTTTCCGATTGCAATCGATCCATAAGTAATAGCAGTTAATGTGCACTGATTGAAAACTTTCTCCTTTACGCACATTCCAATGTTGATTTTCGTTTCCAAGTTCAGGTTTTCCAAAGTACACTCTGACCTTCTCTTGCTTATTTCATTTCATCACAATTATCACAATCTGCTTTTAATTACCGATGTGTTTTCTAGTAGCATCCCTCCAACATTTATCTTAATTTGTTTAGCAAATAAATG